TCTCTACATTTCTAATATAAAGGAACTACAAGTGATTTTTTTCTTTGTGATCAAACTTTTTGAAAAATCACTGTTTTCTTCCTTTGAATAATATAAAATTTATTGTTAGTATAATTTTAAACCAAAAACCCAATTTTTTTTTAACTTATAATATATAATTTTTTAAAACTGAAACTAAATTTATATAAAAACAAAATTCTATAACACCTTTTTTTTAAGTTTTTTCTTCAAACTAAAGGATTTATATTTCAGCCTTTTTAGCTAGAAAAAATATATAATCCTTGTTTGAATAAAAAAACATTTATTTATTTTTCCAAATTTATCTTTATCATTTCAATTTGATTGTTTTATTTTTGCATTTCAAAAAAAAAAACTTGTTTATTAAGTTAGCTCTTGTTTAATTGTTGTTGAATAGGAAGGATTTATCCACTATTTTTTTTTTTGTTCATTTATATTTTTTTTTTAACAATGATTTTTTTTTTTGTTTAAAATGTGTGCCACATGCAAAATACTTAAATATGCATAATAAACTTTTAATAAAAGCTATATAAATGTTTGCAGATTTTATATGTTATATTTTATAATATAGTGCATAATAAAACTATTGTTTTTTTTAATTATAAAGAATTCAAAGATTTTTTTGTTCTGAGTAAAAATCAAATAGTTTCGAGTTCAATAAAGCAACAAGCTGTTGAGAGTGAGGTTTAAATTAAATGATGGAATGTTATATTTTTTGAGAATTTTTAAAAAAATTCAATAGAATCCATGAATTGATGACTAAATTAATACATAAATGAAGAATTAAGAATTAGTTTACGTTCAAAAAATAAGACAATAAAACAAAAATTCATCAAGCCATTCCTGAAGGGGACTTTGCAATGATTCTAGTCCAAGCTTCCCGATCATTGCGGAAATCGGCGGCATCATTTCAGCTTATACAAAAGTTAGTTATGCCGATTTTTGTAACATACTACTATAGTTAACAAAATTATGGGCTCCAAAGCCAAATTCGGAGGTTTTGTTGTATTAGGGATAGTTTAAATAAAAGGACAATTTGATCCTTGAGTGATTCGATCTGGGATAAAAAATATTTATGAGCCGAATTTTATCAAATTGTCTTGAAAGTACTTCCGGTAATTGGCGCACAAGGTTTACATGGACTGACAGACAGACAGGCAGATAGAGAGACAGACGGACAGACAGACAGATAGACAAACAGACAGACAGATAGGCAGGCAGACGTACAGACAGACAGGCAGACAGACGGACGGCCAGATACAGACTGACATTCAAATAGATAGACGGACGGACAGACTCAGAAAGCGATTTTGAGCCGATTACGGACAGACAGGAAGACGGACGGATAGGGATAGTTGAAATAATAGACCGATTTGGACCTTGAGTGATTCGTCCTGGGACGGAAAATACTTATGTGCCGAATTTTATGAAATTGTCTTGAAAACTACATCCGGTTATTGGCGCACAAGTTTACATGGACGGACAGACATATAGACGGAAAGATAGGCAGACGGACAGACAGGCAGACGGACAGACAGGCAGACAGACGGACGGCCAGATACACATACTGACATACAAACAGATTGACGGACGGACAGACTCAGAAAGCGATTCTGGACCGATTTAAAGTATAGAACCAGTATTTATGTGCGTTACGAACCACTATAGTGTAACATTATGGTGAATGTATGCCCTCAGTTACAACGTGTTGTGATTTTGAAACGGAAGACAAATAAAGTCCATGCCAGCCAAAAAAGTTGAATACAATAGTCCAAGAAGATTGTTATCAAACAGCTTGCAGAATCACTGAGTGATAATCAAGCAGCAATTTTTGCGAGCAACTGGAATCATCCAATAAGCGGCGAAATTGTATACTGTACGAATGAAAGGCGAGAGATGTCGAAAACAATTCTGAATGTACGAAATGCCACTTGAATATTACAAAAGAAAATCAATTTTGCACCGAATCATTTGTGATGGAAAATGGGTTCATTATGATAACCCGAGGCTTAAGATATCATATGTGAAGCTGGGCACATTATTAGCTGAGCCGACCCCAAAACCAAATGACCATGGTGAAAAGGTAATATTGTGAGACTGAAAGTGTTTTATCTATTATGAACTACAGAAATGTGACTAGACTTGTACCGAATGCTATTGATTCGTTTGAAGCGAGTGTTAGCAGGAAAACGCTTAGAATATGAATATTTTTATGGCTATTTCTTGAACAGTAGCCTCCGCAGTTGAATTGTAACTGAACCCAAAGTCTTTTTATTCCTAATCAGAAGTCCCATATAAGTCCCACACGATCCCTGTAATTATTTTCTATCAAAAAATATCCAGACAAAAAAAATAATCTTGATTATTAAAATAGTCCGCTCATTTTTAAATCCTTTTTTAATTATTTTTTAAATTTATAACACTTTTTTCTATCTAACTAAAATTGTTCATCACAATTTCACTTTAATTTGCTAAATGTAATTTAATTTCATACTATTTACATATCAAAACTTTTAACATGTCACATTATTTAACATTAATCCGACTAAAATATTATGTAATGTAATTATGTCATATTCATATTATACAATAAAATCTAAAATCCACATATTACCAGGAACTTTGTAATGTAAAGGTAATGCACAGTTGTTTAAAACTATACATATAATAAGAGATTTTATATAAAGTATGCAATAAAAATGTTATTATGCAAACACCGAAAAGTATGCAATAGTTTTGTTTTAGTAAGGTAAAACTTATAAGCTGAAATTTATAAGTATTAATTATTGACATTGTAAGATGATCAGATCACATATCATATAAAATCTTGTATAAAAAGTTATATAGCTCCTAAAAGTATGGTATATTTTCTGAAATTTTAACTTATGTAAAATACAACAAGTACTAAACAAACTGTGTAAGTTTTCAGTAACTAAAATCGTTAACCACCTAAGGCTACTTAAGAAAGAATGTCTATTACGTGAACAATTTTCACTCAAAAACATCTGTATTCTAAATAAAAATTTTCTTGAGAGTATAATTTTAAACTTAGGCTATTATTACTTGTGATCAGAGAAAAATGCAAACATCTAGACACTACAACATTACACAGTTAAACTTTTATAATCTTTTAATTTATGGCACATAAAATTGCGCAGAAAAAAAAAAATAAACAAGACATGGGAAAAGGATGTTAATTAAGCTTTGATTCTTGTTTAAATTCTTTTGTTTTTTTTATTTGAATAAAAACAAAATACAAGAATAATAAACAATTTCTTATGAAGCATACAATTTAAAATTTTAATTAAATCCTTTTTAACAAAGTAATAATACCTAAGATGGAAAACAAAACTTGTAGGCATAAGAACATACAGACATATGTATGTGTATTAGACCTGATCCTGTTTTTAATAATAATGTAACTGAAGCAAATTTTTAGGCATATCTGGTAAAGGGAAGACGTGTAAGTTTGATTTTTAGCTTAATTTAGAAATATTTTAAGAACTTCTTGACAAAAAGAGATTTTCTAAAAGAAGGGTTATATGGCGTTAAGGAATTTCATCGTTATATTAGCGTTTGTAAGTGAATTTTGAACTTCAAGTCATTTCCTGTATGGGGGCTATGATCAAATGAATGCCTATCATTACAAAAATTGACAGTATCATTTAGACTTTTTGGAGAGATAAATGAACATTAAACATACATATAAATGAACTCAAAAGCTATATTCGGGGGCCACGTCTGTATGGGGGCTATGCGAAATAATGAACCGATTTTAATCATTTTCATTAGGCTTCGTCCTTGGAGAAGAGTATGCACCACATTTCATCAAATTATCTTGAAAATTGCTGTAGCGTGCTTACAAGGTTTACGTGGACACACAGATGGATATACAGACGGACAGACAGACAGACAGACAGACAGACAGACAGACAGACAGATAGACAGACAGACAGACAGACAGACAGACAGACAGAGAGACAGACAGACAGACAGACAGACAGATAGACAGATAGACAGACAGACAGACAGACAGACAGACAGACAGACAGACAGACAGACAGACAGACAGACAGACAGACAGACAGACAGACAGACAGATAGACAGATAGACAGACGGACAGACGGGAATAGCTAAATCGTCTCAGAAAGTATTACAAACGCATAATACTTTTCCCACTATAGTGGTGTAGGGTACACATATATTATCTACATTGTAAACTACTTAACCTAAACTAGACATTTTGAAGATTTCCGTAAAGTTTTCAAATTATTATCGAATGACGGACATGTCTAATGCTTATGTGCATATGCAAAAATCTTTGTAATTGTTAATGTATTACATTATGTAGAGTAAAAAATTATGTAAATAATAACAACTTACATGTTGTGTGTATAAATTAAAAGCTTAGGAAAAATACTTATAAAATTATATTAATGAAAAATATGAAAAAAAAAATAAATGCATTTAATCCCACACACTGTCAGAGTATCTCAAATACAGCAAAATGAATTTCAAGAAATTTTTCCAAGAAAGAGGAAGTTATTAACTTAGCAAAGTTTGAGAAATACTATTGTTGATACATGTTTATTATACAATTGGATAATATGAAATACCTGTGGTTACTTATATTATAATAAAAATGCTAAATATTTTATATTCTCTAGCAGACACAACATACATGTACATTTTTTTCAGAAACATGAAAAGGATGAGCCCTAACAAATTACAAAACTTGCAGACACGTAATAATGTAAACAATTAATGTATGTATGTCAAAGGAAATATTATGAAAATATATAATTTTATCAGCAATAAGAACATGTTATTAACTAAATTTTAAATTTATAAAAGTTTTATAAAACTAAATTTATAAAACTTTTAAATTTAAATTTAAAGAAAAACAATTAGTACTTTCTAAATAATATACTCCAAAAAAAAAACTAATTACATCTAAATAACAATTATATATTTTACTCACCTCCAAAACACCATCTACCAGTGGCACGTGCAAACAATACCATGAGTACGATTAAGACAAGTATTGCCACCGCAACAACAATACCAACAATAGCACCAATTTCTAAACCACTTGCTGGTGGTGTGGCAGATGAACTAATGCGTACGGTATAGTCTGCGTAGCCCAATGCGTTCGATGCTCTTAAATTATATGTTTTGGTAGTATCTTCCAAGGTTAAACCGGCAATTATTAATGTTACATTGTACATGTCTTGTCCCAAATAGACTGGTTCAAATACCGAGAAACGACCATCTTGTTCACCTTGACGTATCACATTACCATCAATAGTCCATTCGACAACGGGTGCGGGATTTGAGCGAATGGTCAGATTAACGGTAACGGTGTGGTCTAGGTAGAGGCCGTAGACAAGAGTTTCTTCCTGTTGGATGGGGGAATCTGGGAAAGGGGAAAATTGGAAAGAGTTAAAAATGTTAAAGAATGATTTGAGTCTTTAGCGAAAATTTTATATTAAAGAAAATGTTCTATTAAAGGACAAACGTTATTGAAAGTGTTCTATAAAAAGGAACATTTTTTGGAACATTTCCTGCAAAAAGAGAGAAATTATGGAAAATTTTCTATAAAAAGAAAATTTATGGAAAATTTTCTATAAAAAGAAAATTTATGGAAAATTTTCTATAAAAAGAAAATTATGGAAAATTTTCTATAAAAAGAAACATTTATGGTAAATTTTCTATAAAAAGAAAATTTATGGAAAATTTTCTATAAAAAGAAAATTTATGGAAAATTTTCTATAAAAAGAAAATTTATGGAAAATTTTCTATAAAGAGAAAATTTATGGAAAATTTTCTATAAAAAGAAAATTTATGGAAAATTTTCTATAAAAAGAAAATTTATGGAAAATTTTCTATAAAAAAACATTTATGGGAAATTTTCTATAAAAAGAAAATTTATGGGAAATTTTCTATAAAAAGAAACTTTATGGGAAATTTTCTATAAAAAGAAAATTTATGGGAAATTTTCTATAAAAAGAAAATTTATGGGAAATTTTCTATAAAAAGAAAATTTATGGAAAATTTTCTATAAAAAGAAAATTTATGGGAAATTTTCTATAAAAAGAAAATTTATGGGAAATTTTCTATAAAAAGAAACTTTATGGGAAATTTTCTATAAAAAGAAAATTTATGGGAAATTTTCTATAAAAAGAAAATTTATGGGAAATTTTCTATAAAAAGAAAATTTATGGGAAATTTTCTTTAAAATGAAAATTTATGGGAAATTTTCTATAAAAAGAAAATTTATGGGAAATTTTCTATAAAAAGAAAATGTATGCGAAATTTTCTATAAAAAGAAAATTTATGCGAAATTTTCTATAAAAAGAAAATTTATGGAAATTTTCTATAAAATGAAAATTTATGGAAATTTTCTATAAAATGAAAATTTATGGAAAATTTTCTATAAAATGAAAATTTATGGAAAATTTTCTATAAAAAGAAAATTTATGGGAAATTTTCTATAAAGAGAAATTAGTAGAAAATGCTTTTAAAATTGTTTTATGTTTAACAGAAAATTTTTTCTCTAAAAGAGAAAATTTTATATAAAAAGGTGTTTTTTCTAGAAAATTTTCTTTAAAAGAAAATTTTTAAAAGTTGTCCTTTACAAAGAAAATGTATTAAAAAAATTACAATACTTACAACGCACTAACAAATTGAATGAACCCTCTTGAGGTGGTAAATTTTCACGATCTGTCTGATGATGAGAACGGCAAACCAATTTACGGCCATTATCCTCGGGAGTCAAAGTCCATTGAATCTCTTGGATGGTGGTAGATAATTCCAAGCCATTAGGATTATTAGAGGTAACATCCAAGGGACCAACACGCTTATCGGCTGGCTGATTATCAATCAACCAAGTAATATTGGCAGCTGGACGGCCTTCGGGCACAATGCAACGAGCTTGGAAATTACTATGAGCATTGAAATAACCTTCACGATCGGGTTTGGTAATTAATTCAACCAAAGGTTGTTTGGGACGTACTATAAAAATGAAATTATAATAATAATAATTAATTTTAGCAAACTAATAGCAAATAGCTTTGATTTTTCTTAAGGTCTTTAAAAAAACCCCTTTAAAACTTACATGCTACCACCAAATCAATAGTGCCCGACAGTTCTTCACCCTCAACACCCAGATTACATTTAACCTGACCATTGTTGAGAGCTTTGACACGTTGTATGCTAACACCACACTCGCCAGCCTGCAAACCTTTGCCAAAGTACGTAAACCCAGGAGTTTTATTCCAATCAGGAGATAAATTAAATATTTTCGATTCACCAGGTATTTCAATTCGACAATATGTTATTGTATGATGTGCATAACGACACAACAATTCTGTGGGATCACCTTCGTTTAATACAGCTGTATTGGGTTCAACAGTGACTTGTGCACGTGCCAGTGAATCTATAATTAAATGGAAGAGGAAAGAAAGCGGAAATTGTTTTATATTAGTTTTCGAAATAAATTACAAATTTTGTGATTTTCGTCATATTTCATGCAGATTGGTATACAATTGAGATTTGTGTAGTAAATATGTATATAAATAATAGTAGTAATAATAATGTTGATTATATTGTTTATTTTGGGGTATTTATGTATATATGTGTTCTACCCTGCAGTTCGGTTGGTGGACAAAATGACCAAAAAATTTAGTTCGCTATGAGAGAGTAATATTGTCTAAAAGACATACAATACCTCCTTCTAAATCTTCTGGGTTTTGTTTCCTTTCAATACATTGACTCCTTGTGAAACTTCTGGCTTTTGTTTCCTTTAAATAACTTGTTGGTATTGGTTTCTTCAATTGGTTTGTTATTTTTAAGACAAAAATTATTTCATATTTGTATACTGACTGCCTTGGGGTGTCGTTCATTGAGATATAATTGATTACAAAATCTTTATTGATTATAGTTTATGAATTAAGTAAATATATATGGATATTATTTATTCTTTGCCCTTTATGAAATGTGTAAATTAAACAGTTAATTGTTACAAATGTAAATTTGCGTATTGTATAGATTCGATTGATTAGAAAGTAATACAAATGAAACAATTTTAATTATTTGCTGATTTTAAGTAGGAAACTTCTGGGAAGCATGTCTGACAAAATTATTGAAAATTTTGGTTCCGAAGATATCTGGGGTCTTCAGAAAACTGATTTCAACAGACAGAAGGACAGACGGATAGACGGACAGACAGACAGACATGCAGACTGACACACAGACAGACAGACAGACAGACAGACAGACAGACAGACAAACAGACAGACAGACAGACAGACAGACAGACAGACAGACAGACAGACAGACAGACAGACAGACGGGCATGGCTTAATCGACTTCACTATATATAAGGATTCAGAATATACACTTAATAGGATCGGAAAATTATATTGTGGAAATTACAAACGGAATGACTATCTTATATATACCCTTCTCACGAAAGTGAAGGGTATAAAAAGGGGTTTTCTAAAAGAGGTGTATAGGGTAGAGGGTTAATATGGAACTATAATTATAAATTTTGGTAGAGGGATTAAAGTCTACATTAAAGTTATTTATGCAGAATATCATCGTGATATTAGTGTTTATAAGTGAATTTTGACCATAAAATCATTTTCTGAAGAGGACTTTATATGGAGGATAGGGTCAAATGATTATTACAAAAAGCAGCAGTATCATTCGGACTTATATAAAACCAAGTTTCGCCGATTTTTAGAGTGATACAAGAACATTTAACGTATTTATGAGCTTAAAAGCCCTATTAGGGGAGTACGGTTGTATGGGTGCTATGCCAAATAATGGACCGATTTTAACCATTTTCAATAGGTTTCGGGTCAAAAAATTGTATCAAATCAAATTATCCTGAAAATTGCAATCAGTAGCGTGCGCACGAAGTTTACATGGACTCACAGACGGTCATAGCTAAATCGACTCAGAAAGTGGTTTTGAGCCGATTCTAATACTTTAAAGTGGGTGTATGACCAATATTTTTGTATGTTACAAACATCATCACAAACGCATAATACCCACCCCACTATAGTGGTGTAGGGTATAAATATTTTGAAAAAATTACCAAACAATAACGTATTCTATATGTTTCGTATTCCTTGTCCAGCTTCAATAATTCCATTAAATTTAACAATTCCATTTAAATTGCGTGTTCAAAACGGTTTTCCTCTGCAGACTTACATTAACAAAACTTTAAACTGTCAGACTTGGTTTTTATTCTACAAATTTTTTTCTTCATTCTTCCTTTCAAAATTGGCCAACTGGCCAAAGTAATAAAACCGTTTTATTTTTTTCTATTTTCATGTTTCAGTTATTTCGCAGCCATTATACCATACACACTCGCTGTTGTACATGATTAGTAATGGTCAAACAAAGAAAAAAAAGCAGAAAACATGGTCAACATGAAAACGTTTAAAAGCTTGAATAAAAATACAACGTGCAGCATACCAAAATAATGGTTTTATTTTAAGAAAAATTAGTAAAAATACAAAATTATGTATGAGATTAAATGTATAGAATAAACTTGGGAAAAAAACATATTTTTTTTTACTGAAAAAAAAAAAAAATGAAAAATGGTGAAAAGAAATAAAATAAAATTTCGAAACATGTTATACTACGTATTGCAATTGTTAACTGTTGAGATAATAAAAAGTAATTGTGTATTTATTATAATTTTTGGGATATTTTTCTTTAATTTTTTTTTGTTCTCCTCTTTAATTTAGTTTTGTGTATTTTAAACACGAATTTTATGTTTTACATTAATTTGCGAAAATGTTAAGTTTTATGTTTAAAAGGATTTGAGAGAGTTCGTTACACATTAAAAACATGTTCATTACTTTAAGCAGGAACGTGCTTTAAAATTTAACATTAAAGTTCGTTATCGAGTTTGAATTTGCTCTCAGTTGAAAGTTCTGTAACTGCAAAAGTTTCGAAAAATCTTTATTCTTTTTAGCTTTCTAATGATTTATTAAGAACGAACTAGAGTATTTGTGATCGAAAAAGTCTTGCACTTCCTGACTTACGAATAAGTATTGTTTTTTGGCGAAAACTTCTAAAGTAGTCGTTATATAAAAAATGCGATTGCTTAGCATGTGTAACTGTAACGGGAGCCGATTGTTGATAGCATGTTCTATTTTGGAATAGTTCGTCAGCTCCCCAAGAAACGTCCGACATTAGTGACATAGTGTAGATAGATCGAGATGTAGTAGAAGGTGTGCTGTCGGCAAAAATTCAAAGACAAAAGCTCACGGTTGTGTTATATAAAGCTCATCGGTTACCAAAGAAATACTAGGTTCGTAAGGTTCGCCATCAGGTTTGGAGGCGACCGATATTTACGAACAACCTGGATGTCGTGTAGACAACTGATAGTGATCTAACAGCAGAAAGATCATACATCACAACAATTACAGTATATCACATGTGCATATTCAGAACGTGCCATCCCGAGGCAAGAATAAACGATTCTATCTAATCGATGTCAATACTAGATGTATCAGCTACATATATCGTGCAGTAGAGAACTTAACAGGGAATAGGCAAATAAAATGTTCAATACCCAGCTAAAAACGATCATATATGATTATATATGGATCATATATGAATCATATATGGACCATATATGTTCATATCCGAAAAATGGCGATATATGATCATGTCATATATGGACACATATATGGAATCATATATGAAAAACATTTTCCATATATGGATAAGTATGGAAATATATGAACATATATGGAAATATATGAAAATATATGGAGATTATGCCCAATTCCGCCAATTTTCGGATAAGAACATATAAGAAAATATATGCTTCATATATGAATCCATATATGATCCATACATAATCTTTTTTAGCTGGGTAGTCTCTTCTTTGTTATGAAAACTTCTACAGTATGTGTTATATAGAAAATTCGATCGCCTAGCATGTGTAGCTAATATACAGGTCTTTGTCATGTTTTTTACCAAAAATCGTGGCCATACCTTTCAAAGACCCAACAATTGTGTCATTTATTTTTCCTAGAACATCCGCTATATTATTCTCAAGAATATTTGAAAATCCCGATACTCAGTGCAGCTCTAGGATAGAATAATTCGTCCCCCCCGAAGAGACGCCCGACATTAGTGAACCTGTCTGGATGTAGTGTAGATACCACATATAAATCTAGTGGAAGGTTTGCTGTCGAAGCCAAAAGTTCACAGTTTTGTTATATAAAGGTCATCAGTACCCAAACTAACTCTATGTTCGAATAGTACGCCATTTGGTATAGAGGCTACTGATGTAGACACCAGACATTTATTAGATAATGGTTTAATATCAATACGGATTTAGATATTCCTTATGTATAGATGAAATCTCAATTACTTTGATCGTGTAGCCTAAAGCTACGTGATCCTAATCGAATCAGTGATCGTTCAGATAGTGAGCAGAACGTTGAGTACGAAAAGTACATGTAATGATCCCAATTGCAGCTCTGATCATTCAGATGTTTAGCATTAAAGTTGTATATTACTGTGTTAAACTCGTTTAATTTTTAGATTTACCAGTTTTACTTTAAATTAAAATATATATCTTTCTTTAATTTTTATACCCTACACCACTATAGTGGGGAGGGTATTATGCGTTTGTGCTAATGTTTGTAACACCTAAAAATATTGGTCCTATACCCATCTTAAAGTATACCAATCGGCTTTCTGAGGCGTTTTACCTAAGTCCGTCTATCCATCCGTCTGTCTGTCCGTGTGTGTGTCCCTGTAAACCTTGTAGCTCACGCTACAGGTCGCAATTTTCAAGATAATTTCAGACAATTTTCCACATGCTCTTCTTTTGACCCAAGGACGAATCCAATTGAGAATGGTTAAAATCGGTCCATTAGTTCGCTTGGTCCCCTAAACAATTATTTCTCCAGAATATAACTTTTATTAAATGTTTTTGTATCACTCCAAAAATCTGCAAAACTTTGTTTTATGTCTTAATGATAATGCTGATTTTCTCTACCGAAATTTATAAGGATAGACCCATATTAACCCCCTGTCCCCATATAACCCCTCTTTTAGAAAAACCTTTTTCATAGTCACTTTAGTAGGGTATCATATGGTTGGCCATAGCCGACTATAAATTCTTACTTGTTTTGAATTATTTTTTTTTAATAATAAAATATATTGTTTGTAATCTGCAATTGAACACCTGTATTATTTACTTTTCAAACTTTCAATTTAAATCAATAAGCATTCAGATTTAATAATTTTTTTCTTTTTTTAAACAAGAATTCATAAATATAAATGAAGTATTAAATGTAAAACAGGGACGTGGCTAAATTGTAACGGTAAATTTATGCAGTTCGTTAAAATCATAATAATCAGCTAGAAAATAAAATGGAACTAGAGACAAATTATAGT